CCTCGCTTAGCCAGTGAGCGGGAACCGGTCTGTATGTGGGATCCGAACCCTCGGCGGGAGCGCCACCGCACTTCCCAAGCGGCGCACTGTAGCTGTGCGCCACCGGGCCGGCCTGAACACATTTCTAATCTTTTATATTATTCAATGAACATCTTTGTGCATGTTTATTTTTTCTTACATCTGTGGTAATTTCTTTAGGGTAGATTCTTAGCAGTGGTTGTTCTTTAAAAGAATATTTTCTTCAGTAGTTATTGTTTATTAAGCTTACTACAAGTCCATCTCATGCTTTTTTTCAAGTGAGAATAGAGTATGAAAATATTATCTCCATTTCACGGATGAGGAACCTGACACTCAGAGGTGTCCAAGGCCACCCAGCCAGCAAGTGGCAGAGCCTTTCAAGCTACACATCTCCTCCAGTTCATCAAGCTGGAAAAACTTTTCTTCCCCACTAAAGGTCTATTTCTGTCTAACAAATAAGCCTGGTGTCTAGGGGTGCTAAAGGGAGAAAAACAAAAACCCCAAATCACTTATAAATTTCTACTCTCCAGGTCTCTACATTTTCTGTCATTCTTTATCCAGAAACTTCTGTTCTTAGAACATCCTCTCTCAACATGATTCTGTTTCCACCGTGATCTCCTTGAGGCCCATTCTGGGGTAGCTCTCTTCCTGACAAGTGATCTCACCTGCGAGGTTGCTGCAAACCCCAGGACCACTTCTGGGAAGCTTCCAGCAGGGACTAATCTCATCCGCTGTGCAGGGGCTCTCGTCAGCTCCAATTACCCACAGAGGCCCGAGAGTGATGGAAATGCCTCTGTCTACTCAGGAATAGGACGGGCGTGGCATCGGCTCTGTGGGATTATCTTGCCGCATTTCTCCCTGAGTTGGCCACATTTCTGCACTACCCCTGACCCCAGCGCGTGTTGTGTAAGAATCCCAAATGACGTTTGATCTTTCTCCTCCTCCCTTTTCCTCCCTTCCTGGGCATTGCTGGGCAAGTGCCAAAGAGAAGAGCACTGTGAGGGGGAGAAGTCACGGAAACAAGGCATTCCTGCCCCTTGGCCTCCACCACACCTGTTTCCGTCACCCCGGATGTTGACATATGAGCTAGATCTATGAGCTCCTTTGACTTTATTTGCTCTAGAAATCTCAGACCAGTTGTCCAGAAATAAAACTTCCTGATATGAAGATTGTGCCAAGAGGATGCAGAGAAAGGGGAACTCTCTTACACTGTTGGTGGGACTGTAAATTGGTGCATCTATTATGGAAAAACAGTATGGAGGTCCCTCAAACAAATATAGATAGAACTGCCACACGATCCAGCAATTTCACTGCTGGGTGTATACCCAAAGGAATGGAAATCATCATGTCGAAGAGACACCTGTATTCCATGTTTATCATAGCAGTATCTACAATAGCCAAAATATGGAATCACATAATTGTCCATTGCTGGATGGCTGGATAAGGAAAATGTGGTATATATACACAATGGAATACTACTCAGCTATTAAAAGACTGAAATTCTGCCATTCGCAGCAACATGGATGAACCTAGAGAAAATTATAAGTGAGGTAAGTCAGGCACCAGAAAGAGAAATACTGCATGTCCTTACTCGTAAGTGGGAGCTAAAAAATAATAAACAAATAAACAAGAAAGAAAGAAAGATATAACAATCACCATAATTCATTGAACTTTCAAAAGGAGAGAATGGAACTGAAGCCACCAGAGGTGGGAAAAGCAGAGAGGAGGGTTAGTGAGAAATTGGTAAAGGGCCACAAAGAATGATTATATTGTGTAATGATAAATATATTAATTATCCTGATTTGAGGATCAGGTACTGCACATAGGTATTGATATTCTATGCTGTACCCCACAGATATATACAACCAATTATGTTTCAATTAAAAATAAATAAATTAACTTAGAAAAAAAGAGATTGTGCCAAGGTGGGGAATGGAGTTGGGTGCAGGTTTGGAAACTAAGTGGGAAAAAAGGCTCAGTTCCTGACAGAGGAACGTAAAGTGCCCTTCTAGAAAAACTCCTCCTGACAGTAGACTGCCAACTAATAAAGAGAGAAGGTAGTGGTAGAAAATTATCAATCAATCAATTTCTACTAAAACTAGTAGATGCAAATTTGGTGATCAATAGGCTATTTACTTAGTCTCAAGTTATATCCCTACAAGACACTCACTTACAAAGAATTCATATTATTAATAGTAAATACAAAGAAAAAATAGTAATGTTACAGTGGAGAAACCTGGCAAACACCACCTTAACCTTATGAAAGTTGATGAAATCACTTTCTGTCCGACCCAGACAAAACAGAACTGGGAAAGGCGCACAGGAGGGGCTCATGCTTCCTTGTCTGAGATAACTGTCTCCAAGGTCCTTCTAAAACCTGTCAGAAATCCCTTTACACCTTTCATGTCCTTCATGCATCTCCTACTTTGCATGTACACATGTGTTTCTGTGACAAAGTTTATCACTAGATGTTCTTTAGAACTGCAGTAATTTAGGTAAGATGTTCTGAGAAAAAACTGCCCAGTAATGGCACCTCAACTAATGGACTGATGACAAATCTGACTTTGAGTCTCTGCAACCAGTAAATCTGTTTCCCTGCAGCTTATGCGAACCTCTCCCTTTTTGCCAATAAAAGCTTTATCTTCCCCCTCCCTCACTGAACGTACTCATGGCTCGCAGTGGTGTGCTTTCCAAATTATAATCCTATTTTCTATTCCCACATCACATCAGTGACAGTTCCACCAGAAGTGTAAAACCTGAATCTTATCATGAGAAAACATTAGACAAACTCAAGTTGTAGAACACTCTACAAAATAATTGGGCTGCAATCTT